AAAAAAAAAAAAAAAAAAAAAAAAAAAAAAAAAAAAAAAAAACCAGTTTGCAAACCTTCAGGCATTCCCAATCCTGCCAAAATTGCTAGGAAACATTGCCAGAAATCTGGATGGCTTTGGCATTGCCAGACCATCTCTACAAAATTGTATTGTTAAATATATATATATTGTTAAATATATATATTCTGAACACAGAACATAGCAAAATCCAAGGCAAGCTAGCCATTCACATAGCTCTCCTCACTTACATGACATTGCATAAACATTTATTAGTGGTATAGACTCTTGTTGTCCAGGAAATAAGCCAAATCTTAACTGCCTACAGGTAGGACAGAACACTCCTGATAGACGTACTATTATGTCATTATCTATTATGCAGAAGCATCTGATTTTGGTTATTCTCAGAGACAGGATATCGCAGTCACAGGACTCTAGGCTTAGTTTATACTGGAAACACAGCAATGGCTGTTTGCTAAAACATCAGCCAAGTGCAAGTCTTAATGAAAACTTTTTCCAATGGGTGGTCTTGCTTCTGGGACAGAGTCCTTCACTTTTCAGCAGGGCAGGAACGAGTGATGATCATCTCTTGCTTTTTCCCCTTCCTTTTTCTTTTAGTAATAAATAAAATGAGCATTGTTTGAAATGAATGCTTTTTAATGATGCCTATCAGAGGTGAAAGCAGTACCCCTCCTGTTTGAAAAGGACATGTGATGTAACAAACTGGCGGAGTCGCGTTCCCAAATCACCACCCTGCAGAAGTTTTCCTCTATCAGCACAGAAATAAATGAGTTCTTGTTGCATATGGAGGTTGGGGAGGCCTTATCTTGCTTGGATATGACCTCCTTGCTCTCTGTGGAGGAGAAAGGAAATAAACTAGCAGGCCCTCAGCTTTCTTCTAATTGCCAGCTGGTATCCAAGTAGAAATATGTGGATCCCTCAGTTCCTGCCCAAGGATTTAGATTTCTGCAAGGCTGATAACACAATTTATAGCTACACTAGCTTCCCATGGGATCCCAGCTCTAGTTTAGGTACTGATGACAGGAAGAATACATTAAACAGTTTGGAGAGAAATCTTAAAGGCAGACAGGCCTGTGGAGAAGGCCTGAGTAGGTCTTTTATGTTGCCTCAAGGTTGTTTACATGAACACAAGTGACTGAGAACATGTTCAAAGATGTTGCTACTCATCAGCTGGAAATCAGCGTTCCTCGGGTTGAAGCTGCTGCCTGCCAGCTGGCCCGCTCCTCGTGGTGAGGCTGTCAGCCCTTGGCAAACACAGGTTAACAGAGGTTAGTTTGAACCACTCTGCAGGGCTATGAAAGGCTGCAGCTAAGTGAAGGAGAAGGCTATGCAGGGAGATTAAGACCAGCTGTGGATGGTGAGCATATTCATTATCTTCTTCAGAAATTCCCCTGTACTCTAACTGAGAGATAAACCTAGGCTTGTTTTGAACCATGTGTTATTTGTAAAACAAGTCATGGAAGATACCAAATCAAAGAAGCAGAAATGTACCAGCTCTGCCCTTTCATCCTTCAAATTCATTGCACGACCTCCCATAAACTAGGATACTTTCCAGTACATTATCCAGTTCAATTTGAAATGACCCAAGCAGTGAACCAGCACTTCCCCTGGCAGCTTGTTAGGATGTTTTCTGCTCCTATCCCACTCACTTTTCCCATTTCTTTATTTCAGCTCATTACTTTCTCTTGCTTGGCTGAGGGCAAATGCTTCAGCACCGAGCAGCCCACTGCAATCATGAGTTCAGTCATGTACCATTAATCCCTCGAGCACAGCATTGCTTGTTCACCTTCCTGCACGCTTCAGGAGAGAGTGAATGATTGACACTGGTCATAAATGCTTATAGTGTTAATTCTTTAATGTCCTGCTAATGTTAATTAGCTCTGTTTAGTTTGGGAGAGGTGTAATAACAAATGCTGGACAGAATACTGCCCCTCGTCTGCTGCTTATCATTGCTGGAAACATGCCTCTGCTATCATAATTTGCACAGCCCCAAGGCATGGAACAAAAATGAAGGCTATTTTCATATAAATAAACACCAAACCGCGCAGAGTTCTGCATCTTTGGTGGCCAAGAAAAGGGATCTGTGTATTGGAATCTGCTCTCTGAAGTAGGCATAACCTTTCTCATGCCCCCTTATTATATGCAAGGATTTTGCCTGGCTACTTAAAACCAAGTCCATTTTTAGAAGGCCTTTATGCACTGAAATACTTTCGTCTTTCAGCCTCTGCCTTTGCCAAGTAGTTATGCAGGTGGAGCAAGTTGAGTTGAATTACGTTAGATTGTTCTTGTACTCACTGTTGCTTTGCTGGAAAGTGCTCCAAATTACCCAAAGAAGGTGGTTACACTACATTCATCTGCTCTCTCAAAATGAAACAGACGCTGAGGGCACAAAATGCCTTTTTTGTTCATGTGTTATGTCCTGAACTGGGAGGGAGCAGAGTCATCTGTGTAGTTCAGGCAGAGGTTGAAATAGGATTGATGAACCTGTGGAAGCCGGAGCGATCCCATCCGAGCTTCAGGATTTGTTCCTCTGCACTTGCTGCACGTACCACTTGCTCACAGAATTTCTCATGCCATCAGTTCAGTGACACTGAGTTGTCATTTTCACAGCTGTCCCTGCAAAATTTCCTGAGTTGGTTTCTTTAATGTTTCACATAACCTGTATTCTACACCCTCAAAGCAAAATTCCCTCAAATTCCCTCACCTTTTTTTTTTCTTTCTTTTTTTGCTAGAATTTTGAAATAAATGGCTAAAATTTACATTGTTTCCAATGTGGCCACCAATTAGTGGAAACTTAACTGAAATCCATAAAAGTTTAAACTGAAATACAGCCTGATTAGAAGTTCAGGAAAAACAGTCTGGAAAAGAAATCTTGCAGGAATAGTGAGATCCCTCTGATAGGTTCTGAGAGATTAAAATGCAAACGAGTTCGTGTCTAGCAAGCTGGA